GGGCGCCGCGGCCGGGCCCGGCTCAGGTGCTCTCCTCCCCGGGCTGCGGGCAGTCCAGCCAGTACTGGGCGATGGAGCGCGGGTAGCGGGGCCGCACCAGGTCCACGCGCTTGGTGCGCAGGTTCACGCGGTAGTACTTGTCTGCGGGACAGCGGGGCGGCCGTCAGGACAGCCCCGAGGCCGGGCTGCAGGGGAGCCCTCTCGCGGGATCCCACGGATGCCGCAGAGCGAGGGGGCCTTCCCCGTGCCCAGGCAGCCCCAGGGTGGCAGTGACCCCGCATCCCGCAGCTCTCCCCTGCTGCCCAGCTCCTGCAGCCCCGCACTCACCTCCTACAAAGAAGTAGACGCTCTGGAGGGTCTCACACTGGAAGCCCGAGGGCCAGTCGGTCTCGACGCCCGCAGATTCGGAGTCGTTCTGCAGCCAACTCCAGAAACCCAGGTTCAGCGACCGTTGGTTCTTGTACCTCTTACGCTGGCGGCGAGATTTCCTCCTGCGGGGCTGCTGGGAGGCCACGTAGATCCTGCCGGCCATGGCAGCGTCCAGCCGGCTGGGCACCCCGCGCCAGTCTCTGCTGATGAACCGCGGGCCGCTCGCCCCGGCTGGCAAACAGGCAGGGCTGAGCGTTAAGGGGCCGTAATGCTCAGGCTCCAGCATCCCCCCAAGCTGGGCTGAGACCAGCCCCACAGACGGGCCCTGGCAGCTCTGGAGACCCACAGAGCTGCTTCAGAAGGTCCCCAGGCCCAAGGAGAGGTGAGAGGGCACAGAGCCCTGATTTTGCCACCCGCCTTGGCTGGAAAGAGCCCCATCAGTGCTGAGCTCTTGTCTCCTCCTCTCCACCTTTCATTTCCCTTGCCCAGTCTTGGGGTTTTCCCATGGCTCCAGTGGGAATAAAGAGTCCCCAGCAGCAATGGTGTGGTGCAAAGTGGCCGGTGACAGGCTCTGCAGCATGGGACACAATGGGTGACACAGGTGGAATTTGGGCTGGTGTACATGGGATGCTGCGGGTGACACAGCCATGGCTAGAGGGGTCCTGCCTGTGGTCTGGACTCCTACACAGCCCAACGGGGCAGCTCCTCCCACCCCCCTTTGCTCCCAGGCATCATGATATCCCTCTTCTTCCATATGCCTGCAGCCCTTGTGCCCAGTGGGCACGTGCAGCCCATTCCCCTGGTCTGTCCTCACCCATCCGGCTTCCAAAGAGGATTTGGAAGATGTCCTCCCAGCTGTCGCGGTTCAGGAAGGCGTAATGGCTGAACACAGCCGAGGGCGAGGACTTCTCACACTCGGCCTGCGTGGGCTGCTGGGCGAAGTCGTAGGACCAGTAATACTTATCTAGCAGCAGGATAGGCAGCACGTTAGCAGGGCAGAGACGAGGGGACACACGTTCTGCAGCGCTGTCAGAGGGGGACACACGTGTCCTGCCCCACAGCCGCTGGCTCGAGGGTGGGTGTGGAGGGGCTGGGCCCTTTACCCTTGAAGAAATAGACCCTCTCGTTGCCGTGGTAGCTGTGCGCGGGGAGGGCGAAGGCTGCGTCGATGTTGTCCGGGATGCCCTCAAAGCCCTCGGAGATGTCACGTGGGTAGCCGGGATCCAGGGTGCCATCATCGAAGCGCCAATACTGGTTGCCCTAGGGGTGCGGGACAGAGGCAGGCTCAGGAAGCTGGGCAGGAGCAGGGAGCAGCGTCCCCCGGGCTCCGGGCCTGCCGTGTTGAGGCTGTGCTGCTCAGGGACACCGTGCTGGCCTGCTGCTCAGCAGCACTGCCTCAGAGCCCAGAGCCATGACCGTCCCTCTTTGCTGTGGGATTGTGCTCCTGCTACAACCACGAGCAATAGCCACTAAGCTGTGGCTTCTCTCCAACCAGGGAGCACAGCCTCCCTTACAGAGACAGCGGGAGGGATGTGGGGGGACCCAGAGGCTGCAGCGCGTGTGCATGGAGGGTATCGGGGCGAGAACAGAGCGAGTGCCAGGGCTGCGTCCTCGCTCGCAGCATCAGCCGCCCAGGGAGCAGCCCCAGCCCTGTCTGCTGCGCCTCTGCCCACCTTGAAGAGGTAAGTCTTGCCCTGGCAGTTGATGCGCGTGAAGGCGGCGTCGATGGGGCCCTCTACGCCCCAGACATCACTAATGAGCTTGGGGTAGCCGGGCCGCACGCTCGTCTCGTCCAACTCATAGAAGTACTTTCCTGGGGAGAGAGCGGAGCTCAGGGTGACCGGAGGAGCAGGAGGGACCCTTCCCTGCCGCACAGGCGCTAGAGTGGGGCACCGACGGGGAGAAGGGCCCCGAGGTACCTCGGAAAGCGTAAAGGGAGCCGTTCTTCAGGTCGGTGAAGGCATCGAAAGGCTTCCTGCTGCACAGCTGCTCCGGGTCCTCCTCCGGGTCTGTCTCCACGGGTCCCTCCAGCGTGGTGGTGGGCAGCTCCTGCACGGGCTCCTCCTCCTCCTGCAGCGGCTGCTCAGGGTCCACCTCAGTCCCCTGCGTTGCCAGCGCAGGTGGCAGGGTCATGGGCCAGTCTGTGGGCACTGCCTCAGTCACCCCTTCAGGGCTGGTTTCTGTGGTCTGGCTGAAGTCAACGTAGTCGTCCTCCGGCAAGGCGAAAACATCGCCCCGAGTCACTGTGGAGAGGACAGGAGGGTCCTAGGAAGCCCTGCATGCCTCCACGCAGGGGTCTGGGCACTGGCACGTGAATGGGAGCCTTGCACGGAGCAATGTGCTCTGCTGCCTGCCTGCCCGCTGCTGCTGCCACTGCTCCGGGGCCACCCAGGAGCCCCTGGAGCCCAGGGCCCCACGCTGGAGCAGATCCAGCTGCCCGAAACGCCTGGCATTGCAGCACCCACCCACCAAAGCCCAGCCCTGACTGCGGCCAAGGCCACGGGTGCTCCCAAAGCACCGTGCTGACAGCCCAGGGCTGCGTCCCCGCACCGCGTCCCGGCTCTGCCTGGCCAGCCCCTTCGCTGCCGAGAGCGGAGGGCTCTGGCGGGGCCGGTACCTTTCGTTTTGCAGGCGGTGGGGTAGTCACTGCAGCAGCTCTGGTAGTACACGCAGAGGGCATCGCACTGGCACTTGCGCTTTGCATCGAAGCCGCTGTCACAGCGGCCCACGCAGGAGTCTGGAAGAGCCACAAGCCAGCAAGGAAGGAGTAAAGGCAATGCTGTCCCATCCCCCCAAGGGGCTCTCCACCTCTGCATGGCCTCCCCCAGCCCGGGGGCTCCCTCTGCACCTCCCTGCTGCCCCCAGCTCCCTGGAACAGCACAGGAGTCATGGATGCAGCCAGCATGATCCGAGTTGCCTGCTAGCTCCACGCGATCCAGCTACCGCCCTGCCAGGGACTTGCCCTGGCGCCACAGGCCCTGCAGACACCCCTGTGCTCTGCCACTTGCTTTGGGCTTTTCCCCACGCTGCAGGACAGCCGGGGATCCCAGTTACTGCCCGTCTCCCTCTTCACCCTGCCCAGGCTCCCCCAGCCACCCCAAGCGCCCCATAGCCACATCCGCTGCCTCCGCAGCGTCACTGCAACCAGGTGCTGGTGACCACCTGCATCAGGCCAGCTGGCCGGGGGCTCACACTCACCTTCAGCAGCCTGGGCCACGGCGAGCAGGCCCAGCAAGAGGGCAGGGGAGAGCAGCCTCATGGTGGGCACCAGGAGCAGGGCCGGGCTGTGAGTGTGCGGGCTGCGGCGTGCTGGAAGCCGGAGCCCCGGACTCCGCTGTTTGCTCAGCCTGCCCCGGAGGGAGAAAACAAACAGGGCAAGGTCAAAGCGGAGGGAAAAGGGGCAGAGATGCACTCCCCTCCTGGCCTTCCTCTGCGGGGCAGAGCCGGCTGCGCGTGATGGGGACGAGGCTGCCTGTGCACCGGGTGCTGGGGCACAGGGCTCCTGCTGCCTCACTTCATGCACGCATGCAGCCTGGCCGGGGATTCAGAGAGCCGGGAATGACAGGAGGTCAGAAACCAAAACCAGTTTTCAGGCCTTAGAAACTCTTTTTTTTCTTTTCTTAGCAAATCTTACGGTATTCCACTTGCCTGAAACATCACCGTTTTGTAGAGGTTCTGGTTTCCTCAGTGTCAGCAATGCTGGAACCAGAACCGGGGAGCACCAAGAGGTGGCAGCTTAGGATGGGACAGATGCCACCTCAGTGTATGGGCACAAGGGGCCAGAAGTGAGTGGCTTGGAGGGAGGGAGGGAGGCAAGTCCTGTGCACTTTCACTGCAGTAGACAAATAAAAGCCTGTGTATTTTGCTCCCATCACCCCTTTTCCGGACAATCTTTTGAGTTACTAATTAATGTTGACTCAGCTCCTTTCTGCAGTTTCTGATAACTCCAGGATGATTATGTAATCAGGGGCAAGGAGCAAACGCACACGAGGCTACAGAGATACTACCTCTGGCTGCTTCCACTGCTGCGGCTGGTGCGACGTGGGGGTCTTCCCCAACCTGGGGGCAGGAGTGTCACAGCTCTGAGGTTTAATAAGTGACAAGAGATTTGCAGGGAGAAGCAGTGGAGCACCTGGTGGGTGCTGCCACTGCCTCTACAAGAGCCCTGTCTCTGCTGGGTCAGACCCAGGCAGCTTCTGGCACCGGCTGGTGTCAGTTTTGCTGGGAAGGCCTTGGATTTGGTGTTGAGAAAGACATGTTTGCCTGCCAGAAAAGCTTTGGAGAGCCAAGGCCAGCAGCCAGAAGCAGGCTGCGTGGGCAGGACTCCTCCTGCAGCCCCATTCCCCGCTGTTTGTCCCATCAGGGCTGGGATCCTACCTGCACACAAGCACCAGCGTCGCATTAAAACTCATCCCACCCTCACCCAAGTAAGGCTGGAGGATGAGTGGGGTCGGAGGGAGTCCAGGTGCCCCTGGCAGGCTGCAGGGTGGGGGAGGAGAGGATGAGAAGGGCTCAGCAGCGTCCACGCTGCTTTTGCTGATCAGCAGAGACAAAGCCCCAGAGCTGCCGCCCGCAGCTCCAGCCTCCTGGGCGCAGCAGCCACCGACCTGGCTCCTGGGCAAGCTCTTCCCCAGGCCCACAGCCACCGTGGGGACAAGAGCCCCGGGAGAGGGGTCGGTTGGGATAACCAGGCCCTGGGGAGCCCCTTGCTGCAGGGGGGGAGCAGAACCTGCCAGCGGAGCTCAGGCAACAGGCCAGTTTCCCCAGGGCAAGGCAGGGGACACAGAGCAGACACAGAGCCCACTGTAGCATTGCTAAAAACTACTCCCAAAAAAGAAAGACAAACTCCTCGAGCTTGTATGAAGTTAAAAGCAATGGCTTGAGTTCTGCCCCTTTGCACAGTACTCCCTTCCAAGGTGGCAAACCCCCCTGCTGCACTGCATCGCAGCAACCCATACCACGGTTACCCCTGGTTAATAATAATTTATCGGGAAAATCCTTACTGATTCCGTGCTCGGCGTTTCCTGCAGTCCCGTGCCCCTCGGATCGCCTTGTTTACCGTCCTTCGCTGTGAGCTAATGTCCCTTTCCCGTGACTATCCCTTCTGTGTGGCTTCAGAGAGGATTAAAAGAGACTGTGGCATCAAAACATCAACTTGAATTTAAGTCTCCGTCTGAGCTGGCAGCAGACTGGCTTTGGAGCCAAGGATTTGAGCTGCTCCTCCCAACGCAAGCAAGAAGAGTCCAAAACATTTCTGCCCTAAGCACGTCTGGCCTGGAAAAAAAAAATAAAGCAGTCCAGGCTGTCTCTGTTCTTTCTTTTATAATGCAAATCCTGAACCCATCCAGCAAAGCCACTCTGGCTTCGCACCGCAGCACAGGGAGCTACTGTCCTCACTGCACTGATTCAAAACACCTTTGAAACGCAGGGCCAGGACTGCCTGTGTGCAACCACAACTAGCCATGGCCGGGCTCTTTGTCTTCACCCCGTGTCCCCTCGGATCACAGAGGGTCCTGGAGGGACCAGTCATGCGGGCAACACGGAGCCCCTGTTCCCTGGGAGCCAGTCACAGCTCGGGCGAGGAGGGAGGGGGCGTTGGGGACGGCCAGGCCGCCCTGAGCCCAGATGGGGCAGGCAGAGGGAGCTGAGCTGTGGCGGAAGGAGGGATCTGGAGAGATGCCAGAGCATCTGCAGCGAGCAGGGGGATGCTGCTGCCGAGCCCCTCCTTGGAGGGGCGGCGCCTGAACGGGGTGACATCAGCTCGGGGACCGGAGATGCGGAGCCCGGCTCTGGGCAGGCGGTTCCTGCCCCGGTTTCCAGCTCCGCATCCCGGCAGAGCAGGGAGGGGAGAGGGAGCCAGTGTCCCAGTCCTGCACCCAGGCACCTGGCCAGCTGCGTCCTCCATCTCCACGTCATCCCCTACGACCAGCTTGGGTTCCCTAGGGAGCACGGGGGCCCTGCCCGGGCGCTCCCGGCGGCCGAGGATGCTGCGCTAGAGGCGGTGCTCACGCTGCTCGTCTCCGTCTATAAACTCTGCCGGCTCTTCACCATGTCGGGGGCGGAAAGGCTGGTGGTGCCGGAGTGCGTGAGCCAGCCGGGCTGGTGGGCAGGCGGAGGGAGCACAAGGGAGCACCGCGAGGTCTCTCCCGGGGTGAACACGGACGTGCAGGCGGCCTTAGACCGCATCCTGCCCACCCTGCACCAGGCCCTCGCCTCTGCCAAGCAGGCGGCCGCTCCGGCCAAGCTCAGGGAGGCCATTGCAGAGATCTTCCAGCTCGTGGAGGAAGCCTGGGGGATGCCCACGCTGGGAAGGGATGTGGCCAAAGTGCTGTGCGATGCGATCCGCCTGGAGGGCGGCCTGGACCTGCTG